TCGGAAACTGCAAGCGCGGATTCGGAAACTAAGCACGCGGATTCGGAAACTTCCGAGCGCGGATTCGGAAACCAAGATTCGGAAACTTGAAGCGCGGATTCGGAAACTGGAAAACACATATTCGGAAATTGGAAGCGCGGATTCAGAAACCGAAAAAAACGGATTCGAAAACTGAAAGCGCGGATTCGGAAACCAAAAAATGGATTCAGAAACTGAACGCGCGGATTCGGAAACTGGGAAACTGGAAGCGCGGATTGGGGACCCCTAATCCCCAAACCCCGAAACCCACAACCCTGCAGGACAGCATGATGATGTTCGGGTTGTCGCACGTCCACGTGTCCTGGTCAAGGAAACTTGTTGGGGATTTAGGGGAAGGATTGTTGCTTTAGCAACCTCGGAAAATACTAGGGTTAAGGGTGTAGGGTCCTGAAAGGGATGTGTAAGGAAGCCACATCCCTAAGTGGGAATGAGGGCCCTGGATGATCTGGCCATTCGCACGGACTGGTAACACGGACGTAATCATCGGTCGGGCATGGATGCTCTGGCCAATCGCACGCGCTGGTAACACGGACGGAATCATCGTGCGGGCATGGATGCTCTGGCCAATCGCACGGACTGGCAACACGGACGGAATCATCGTTGGGGGGGAGGGGGGGGGGGGGGGTGAGATTGAATATGAGAGTAGATAGTACAAATGAGGGGGGGTGGGATTAAAAATATCTCTGAGAGAAGAGTTGAAGGTCAAAGGGGTGTGAACAAATGAGGGGGGTTGAAAAAATCCGGAGAGAAGAATTGAAACTCGAAGTGTGGAAAAAAAAGTGAGGTGAGAGGAGAAATGAGGGAGGGGGGGTGAGATTGAGTACAATCGAGAGTAGATCTGAGAGAAGAGTTGAAAGTCGAGGCGTGAGTGCAAATGAGTAGGGGTGAGATTTAACATAATTGAGAGTAGAGTTGAATGTCGAAGTGTGAGTACAAATGAGGGGGGGGTGGGATTTAGAAATATCTCTGAGAGAAGAGTTGAAGGTCGAGGCGTGTGAACAAATGAGGGGGGTGTGATTTAAAATAAACCGGAGAGAAGAATAGAAACTCGAAGTGTGGGGAGAAATGAGTGAGGTGAGAGGAGAAATGAGGGAGGTGAGATTTAAAAATTGACAGTAGAGTTGAATGTTGAAGTGTGAGTACAAATGAGGGGGGGTGGGATTTCAAAATATCTCTGAGAGAAGAGTTGAAAGTCGAGGTGTGAGTACAAATGAGTGGGGGTGAGATTTAACATAGTTGAGAGGTGTGAGTACAAATGAGTGGGGGCGAGATTTAACATAATTGAGAGTAGAGTTGAATGTCGAAGTGTGAGTACAAAGGAGGGGGGGTGGGATTTAACAAGACCTCTGAGAGAAGAGTTGAATGTCGAAGTGTGAGTACAAATGAGGGGGGGTGAGATTTAACATAATTAAGAGTAGAGTTGAATGTCGAAGTGTGAGTACAAATGAGGGGGGGTGGGATTTAGAAATATCTCTGAGAGAAGAGTTGAAAGTCGAGGTGTGAGTACAAATGAGTGGGGGTGAGATTTAACATAATTCAGAGTAGAGTTGAATGTCGAAGTGTGAGTACAAATGGGGGGGGGGTGGGATTTAGAAATATCTCTGAGAGAAGAGTTGAAGGTCGAGGTGTGAGGACAAATGAGGGGGGTGTGATTTGAAATAATCCGGAGAGAAGAATTGAAACTCGAAGTGTGGGGAGAAATGAGTGAGGTGAGAGGAGAAATGAGGGGGGTGAGATTTAGTATGATTGAGAGTAGAGTTGAATGTCGAAGTGTGAGTACACATGAGGGGGGGTGGGATTTAAAAAACATCTCTGAGAGAAGAGTTGAAAGTCGAGGTGTGTGAACAAATGAGGGTGGTGTGATTTAGAATAATCCGGCGAGAAGAATAGAAACTCGAAGTGTGGGGAGAAAGGAGTGAGGTGAGAGGAGAAATGAGGGGGGTGAGATTTAAAAATTGACAGTAGAGTTGAATGTTGAAGTGTGAGTACAAATGAGGGGGGGTGGGATTTAAAAATATCTCTGAGAGAAGAGTTGAAAGCCGAGGTGTGAGCACAAATGAGTGGGGGTGAGATTTAACATAATTGAGAGTAGAGTTGAATGTCGAAGTGTGAGTACAAATGAGGGGGGGTGGGATTTAGAAATATCTCTGAGAGAAGAGTTGAAAGTAGAGGTGTGAGTACAAATGAGAGGTGTGAGGACAAATGAAGGGCGTGTGATTTAAAATAATCGGGAGAGAAGAATTGAAACTCGAAGTGTGGGGAGAAATGAGTGAGGTGAGAGGAGAAATGAGGGGGGTGAGATTTAGTATGATTGAGAGTAGAGTTGAATGTCGAAGTGTGAGTACTAATGAGAGGGGGTGGGATTTAGAAATACCTCTGAGAGAAGAGTTGAAAGCCGAAGGGGTGTGAACAAATGAGGGTGGTGTGATTTAGAATAATCCGGCGAGAAGAATTGAAACTCGAAGTGTGGAGAAATGAGTGAGGTGAGAGGAGAAATTAGGGGGGTGAGATTGAGTATAATTGAGAGTAGATCTGAGAGAAGAGTTGAAAGCCGAGGTGCGAGTACAAATGAGTGGGGGTGAGATTTAACATAGTTGAGAGTAGAATTGAATGTCGAAGTGTGAGTACAAATGAGGGGGGGTGGGATTTAAAAATATCGTGAGTACTAATGAGAGGGGGTGGGATTTAGAAATATCTCTGAGAGAAGAGTTGAAAGTCGAGACATGAGGACAAATGAGGGGGGTGTGATTTATCGGCGCAAAATAGTTTCTGAATCTCACGGAATAGTTTCTGAATCGGTTGAAAATAGTTCCTGAATCGCGCGGAATAGTTTCTGAATCGCACGGAATAGTTTCTGAACCGTAGTTTCTGAGTCGCGGGAGTTTCCTGAATCTGAGCAAACAGTTTCTGAATCGGTTCGAAATAGTTTCTGAATCCGAGAGAATAGTTGCTGAACCGCAGTTTCTGAACCGGACCAAGTAGTTTCTGAATCGGACGAAATAGTTTCTGAACCGTAGTTTCTGAATCGGGGGTAGTTTCTGAATCCGTGTTTGTTCTCCCGGGACGCCCAACTCCATCAGCACAAGCAGGAAACGCTGACACTGGAAATCATTGATGGTCACGCGGTAAACGCACTTGTACCATGCATACGCCGCGCAACTGGGAACCCATCCTTCGAGCGCACGATTTTTCTTTAGCATCCTGAGGTCCTGTAGTTCAAAGGCAGCCGTGTTGAGAATCAAGGGACTACAGGCACAGGAAGGTCTGCCGCGTGACGCCAATCAAAGAGTTGGATCCAAGAGCCCACAGCCTTCACACCATCTGACATCAGAAGTTTCCATCTTAACTTGCATTTCTCAAGTCTGCGTGTCTTTTTGCGATGTGCTCCAAGGAGAAGCAATGTTTGCAAATGGCGGTAGCTCGGCAGAGACTCAAAGCCACGTACACCAGTGGGGGGGGGGGGGGGGGGGGGGGGGGTGGAGCCGCAAGCGCACCCGAAGTCGACTGAGCCGAGGAAGGCATCCTGGACAAGGCTGCTGAATCCATGCTCTGCATACCCTGCTCTGCATGGTTGATGATGCAGCACCCGTTCCCGTGAGGAAGACGTGGTGATACGTGGTGAATGAGAACATCAAGCTTGTCCGAAGTTCCACAGCTTCAGGCTCCCTGATGGCGTATAGGCTGTGTTTGACACACTGTGGCAGAATGAGCAAAGTTTCGGTGGGACGGTGGCGCACATTACAGACAGACACACAGACAGGCAGACGCTTGTTACTAGTTCAGAATCAGGGGGCGCCTGAGCCTGCTCGATAAGTTCTTCGTCTCGAAGGACCAGATTGGCAACAGCGCATGGCCGTGGAAGAGGCGGCTGGCACTGACGATGCGCTCGCGCTGGTTGTGGACATCGGAACCCAAAAGATCATCGGCGGCACACTGAGGAGGACCTAAGTGGACAAGAGAAGGAGGCTGCACCGGAGATGTCGAGTTCGAGAGCGAGAAAGAGTCAGGAAAGAACTGCGCGCCAAGGGAGGTTCTTGCCGCTTTTTGCTGTTTAGCCGTACATCTCCGGGCTGAGCCCTCTTCAAGCTACATCGATCATGGAACAGGGGCCGTGGCTTTCGCTGTGCTTCGAGGCTCACGGGTGTTCTCTAGCTCATGGATTCAGTGTTGGTAGTGAGGCTGCATAGCTGCGTAGAAAGCATGGAATTACAGGGGGGTTAGCCGACTGCACGCAACAAAAGGGACCCCCCCCGCCCAAATCCATGTGACGCCTGCCAGAAACGACCACAGTGAGAAGACTAAGGCCCCCTACTGCACTTGGCAATCCAGGATGCACCATGTCGTGTGCATAGTACCCTTACTTATACTTGGCGCTTGGCTGGAAACGGCGACCGCTGCTTGCGCGCTGCTGATGCGAACTTTACGCGCGCTAGCGCCAAACGCACCCTGCGCCGCCAAAGGGTGGTTCGAAGACCAACGCTCGGTACGCGATTTTCGGTTGTGGGCGGCTCGAAGATCAAAGCTGGGTGCACGATTTGCGGGTGTGGGCGGCTTGAAGATTCATTGATGCAGCTTTTTCGCCTCGTTGAGATGGTGTGGTACGTGTTTTCGTGCATGCTCAAGTATGCAAAAGTAGGATGTCATGGATGCGGTGGTTTGCTGCGTTGCATCGTTTCGCTGCGTTTACATGGTGCATGTGGAAGGTTGCGAAAACCGGGGCTGCTGGCTGTACGGTCGTTGCAAGGGTACTTTGAGCCAATGCACCAAAGAACATGGACATGGATGTACTGATGCACTGATGACTCCAGAGCTGATAGATACACGCGGGTTTGATTCATGGTGTTGTGACGGCAGACTGCAGATCGGGAAGCATCGCAATGCAGGAGTAAGGCCCACATCAAACGATGCCTTGACAATGCATCGGCCGCAAGCCTACTGCTAGTCCAAGTCCACGAAATCCCATGCTGCAAGCGACCTCGGATTTGATGACGGCGTTCTGCCCACAGGCCGAGTTCCAGTGTGAGTGTGAGAGTTAACTCGGGTGCTTCGAAAACTAGCACCCCGAAGGTTGCAGGTCGATTCTGGGCATTTGCTGTTGTATACCATACCGGTATCCCTCGCCCCTCATAACTTTGCAGCTCCGACTACTTTCTTCAAAGGCCAGGGCTTAAAGAAGTGTAGGGTCAGAAAGTCGCGGACCTGAATGGCAGCGTTTGAGATTTTTATTCTCCACAAGAACTCATCAAAATCCAGTGCTGCCAGGGTGGTGGCCGACACTATGCTGATGTGATAAAGGCCAGGGACTGTCGGGGCGTTGGGGTTTGTGGCGTTTGGTTGGTTGGCAGGAGGGTGAAGACCCGGTGAAGACCCTGGGCCGCCATAGCTTAGGGTGGCAACGGGTGGTACACTGCGAAAACGTGATTCGCGGAGCATGTGACCTCAAGTTCTTTGGAGTTTTCACAAATTAAACAGGCCCCTCAACTCTTTATCCTGCAAACCTGACCTGCAAAGTAAAGTTAAGCCGAAGCATGAACACCCTTGTTTAGGCGCTGAAACCTTTTGTCTCCCGCCAGCGGTTCCAAACCCGCACTGAGACTGCTTTCCGTGACGGGGCTTCCCAATTCAGAAATCGCATCTTCCTTCTTAGTTTTGTCGATGTTGTCGGCAGTTGTTGATCCTTTAACCCTCACTCAAGACAGGACCCACAAGGTGAATCCCCGCAATGCCTGGAGACAGGCTGCTCGAAAATTGCAACGGTGTCCAAGCCACGCCCTCGGTGCAAAGGCACTCCCCAAAAGACCTCAGGAAAGGCGTTTATGTTTGGACGACCGGCGACTAGGCTCATAGGCCAGCTTTGCCTCGCCTGTTGCCACGGTTCGCTATCGTGATAGTCCAGAGGAGCTCAGGCCGTAGCAGTAGGCAGTACGAAAACTCACTGCTCCGAACCAGATTGTTTTTCGCAGCATGGCCCCTAGCCGCCCTAGCCCTGCAATTAGCTGAAGAGCAGTTTGCTGGACATGAACATCCTCCTAAATGGTGAGCTGCTTGACAACCTGTGTTTCCAACTTTGTAACCGTTGTCCGCTTGTTGTGTTGTCCAGAAACGGACATGTGCATGTGCCTTTGCGGTGTTGAATGAAAAGCTACCAAAGGCTACCAATTCGTAAAGCTGAGTTGCATCCATGAACTTCCAGCTCAGGAGATTCTGGCAACATCGTTGTAGACCCAGATCGACAGGCCGCTTGGATGAAGATCAGCCTTCTGAGTTCCGCTCGCTTCAAAGTCCATGAGTACAACTTGCTGCCAACCTGAGCAACATACGTTTACGCAAACGTTTCTTTTGAGTGCACGTCGGTTGGTGTAAGCATGTCTGAGGCTAGGGCCCAGGGGGCAAGAAGAATACCCTACTTTTTGCACATGCACCTGTGCCCTCTGCATTGGTGTATGTCTGCCTTCACCTCCCAGTGGAAAACAGTCGAAGCGGGACCCATATTCGACGCGCGCGTCGGTGGTATCGTTGACCACGTGGAGCGCTACAAATCGGGTGGGGCCGGGTAGGGGCGGGGGGGGGGGGATCTGGTGTGCTTAAGTTCATCTACGAGAGCTGGGTTCGCCTATCTGACATGAACAACCTCTTGTCCGAAGCCCCGAGCTTCGCGCTTCGAGCATTCTGTTCTTCTCAGTCATGTATCGTCTCTGTTGCTCGTTCAGATACTTGCTCATCCCCCGTTAAGATTGAAGCCTTACATGAACTTTGAAGCCTCGAAACCGTGTTTTGTGTCTGTATCTTGCTCGCCAGTGCTGTCCAAGTGCGGAGGCCATTTGAATCAAAACTGTGACCATTGCCCTTGGACAGCAACCGACATGCCATCAACGAACTGAGTAAAACTTGCCACACATATCTAACACTTGTAAAAACTGTGACCATTGCCCATGGACTTCCAGCCGTCCACATGAGCAACAAAAGCCCAGAAACCATTCATCCAGAGCTTCGTCGTAGTTGCCACCATCACCCTTGGCTCACGAAGCCAAAGAAGCCCTCGACTCCTTTGAGGGTGATTCTGCCAAAGAGCCTTTTGCGCGGCCCAGCTCGAGCAGTGTTTGGATCTTCTTTGCCAAAAAGCGTGTTGTGAATCTGTCAACGGTAGGGATGGCAGGTCAAGTCAGTGGACAGCTTCAAGCTAGAGGCAGCGAGAAGAGAAATGTCGATTCGGGCCTGTCTCAAACGGCCTTGCACCGAGGTGCTTCACCACGTGCGAGCGCGTGAACATGTGTGAAAATGCCAGAGAGGGGGTCAAGGGTTTATCACACTGGGCCGAGCCCAGCAGGGGAACAATGCCTGCTGGCATGGTTGTCGATGCATCTCGTGATGCATCGCTTGCTGGATAGGTGGAAACCACGTGGAACCTTTGACGCTGGTCGATGAAGTTTTCAAGTTTCGACTTTGTCAATGAGTTGAAAATATTCACTTGAGGTGCTAGAGCTCTTCCAGCTTTACACGGCGTACAAGGAGAAGGTGGGGCCGAGTTGAGACGAGGCTTTTCAGGTTCAAGCCCTAGTTGAGGTTGCAGTATGTTGCAGTCGGGATTGCAGGATCAGAGAATTGAAGAATTGCAGAGTTGGATCGCTTCAGAATCGTTAGAGGGGTCATTTTTGACTTCGGTTTGCTGCATTCTTCGGTGCTGCGGGAGTGTCCTTGTGGAGACCCTGAAATCTGAAGGACGCCCCCCCGTCAAGCCGTTAAGCCGCGACGTGCCTGGAGCGCTCCTTGGAGCCCATACGCTGCGTTTAAGGAAATGGAGTCGAATAGACTTCTTTCCTGTTCTGCTGGGCAGAGCCCCGCAGAACGGCGAAGACCAAGATATCGTCACAAAGAGAGGAAGTCACTCTTCCGGTCAGATATAGGAGAGCCTTGTACAGAGCTTCTCGGCCAGGCCATCGACTTGGAGGCTGAGACCGGGGGGGGGGGGGAAGGGCTATCCTTGGGGGAGATTTGGTTTCCTAAACCTGAACCACCTGAAGTCGATCTTCTCAAGGCTGTCTTGGGTGTTATGGGGTTGTGGGGTGGGGGGTGGGGGTGGGGGTGATATCAGAGGCTTTTCTAAGAAGGCTATAGAGCCATCTTACGCGCCCCATCCATCTTCTAAAATTCTCAAGCCTTAGTTTCCTTTTGTTCCCTTTTGTGACACTGGGTGACGCTGTCGCTCCAAGGGACAAGGGCCCACAGGTTGAAGTCATGCGACCAGAAATGCCCAGAAACAGAATGCAAGCAATTGTCTTCGTCCCGCGTCCCCGCTCCTGGAAGGGGACTTTTTGCGACCCGACATCCCAACTTCGCGCCTCATACGATTTGGCTTCTTGAGCTCTAGGTCCACCAGGATCTGCTTAGTCTGCTTGTTCTTGGGCATCGAACAAAGAACTCCCCGAATAAACCTCTAGAACTACCGGAAAACCGCGGTGCACGCTGAAGGACCTGAGGCGAACGGTTTCTTGCCCTTGACTGGCTTGAACAAGGGGAAGGCTGTTTTCGCAGTGTTAGGATGACGGCAGGCGCGGCTCGCTGCCACAGAGGCGTCGCTGGAAGCAGCGCAGGTGAGATCGTGGAAGGGTGTAGGAGGATGGAGGTATACCGCGCACGTTATGTCTGAAGATGCCCATCACAACTTGTAGGCCGTGCAAGCAGGTAGGCTTAGGGCTGAGAGATGTGTAGAGGGCTCGCATTGGTTGTGGGCTTGGGCCTCGCGTTCTGCGTCGTCGGACGGAGGCCTCAAAGGCTTCCTGGATTGCATCTGTAGGAGGAGGCCCTTGAGTTCATACTGGCCTGGTTTAGGGTTTATTGGAGGACGGCCAATTGATGGACGCGGCCTTGCAGACTTTAGTTCTCGGGTGGAAGCGCTTGGCTTCGGGACTTGGCTTGAGAGTGTCGAGTGCTTTGCCGTGAGGATTTGGAGTTTGCGTAGTTCCAGCAAAGCCTAAACCTGCGCAGGCAAAGATTTTGAAGCTGGAGTGTCAGAAGGAGCAGAAGGCTCGTTTGGGTTAAAGGTTCCTGTGAACCTGCAGTTCGAAACAGGATGTTGTGTAGTTTCAGGTGCCACATGGGAAATATCGGGAACTATACAACCTGAAATCCTAAGCTGCCAACTTGAAGTCTTTTCCAAATCTGACGCTCCTTCTCAGGCAACGTCCCTGCATAGGCGAGGCAGTCACAGGTGTATGAAGAAGCCCAGCATGAGGTCTTGCCCCAGGGTCTTGGCCTTGAGGGCCAGAAGCGCACAGCCTATTACAGCCGAAAGCGTGAGGGGGAAGAGAGTGTGAGGGGCTGGGCATCTGTGGGGAACGTTTTTGAGGGAGGGAACAAGACTTCTTGCATCGGGGAGCACAAGTCAGGGAACCGCCCCCATCCCCCAAGTCTAGGCGCACGTAAAAAGCGTGCAGCCTGTTGGAGCAGAAAAAGCCCTCCAAGATCCGGCCTTAACCTGCTTGTAAAGTCCAAGCCTCAACACTTCACTGGCGCAGGAACCAAAAGAAGTTCAGGCCGATGAAAAAGCTGCATGGGCTGAGGTGACTACTGAGGAGCCTGCATCCGCGCCAAAGATGATCAAGAAGTCATACACTTGCCCAGGCCAGCAAACATCGAAGCCAAGAAGCTTGCAGCCCCCAAAACCTGCAATCTGAAGCTTCTGTTCTCAACCGAGCCCCTTGTGCTTTTACTTCCCGAGCTGTTTTTGCTCAGTACGTTCGGCGCGAAAGCCATAGGCACAACGGAGAACACGGACTCCGACGACGAAGGCTCCGAAGCAGCATATCCTGTCACGATGCCGTTGGTAGCCGACTCCATTCATGATGAAGCTTGTTTTTCTGAGACTGATCTCGTATTGTATGGTCTGCTGTATGGGCAACCAAATGCGGGGAAGTGTCTTGTGTCTTGTTCTTGACGGGGGGGGGGACTGGGTGTTGAGGGTGGGGTAGGTGTGGGGGCTTAGATTCACAGAGGTCTTCGAAGAAGTAAACTTACCCTTACCCTACACGTCCAAGCTTTTTCATCCTCAGCTGAATGCACAGGTTCACCTCTTCAAATAAGACCGCAAGGAGATACTTAGCCGGAAGTTGGAGCACTTAGAGCAGTAATGCTCTTGATGGTCGAAGTTGCAGTTGCCATGATGACTCGTGACATGCAAATCCCCTTTCCGAACCATTTATCCAATGATCTTTTTTCTTCAGTGGTCGCCTGGGATGCCCCCCCTCCCCCCCCCATGAATTGGCACCCCATTGTCTGTGGTTTTGCTTCAATGTCCGCTGAGGCTGGGGCTCGTGGACTGACCAAGGCGGGTGTCCGAACCAGCTTCGGGGTTCCTTCTCATTGGCATTTAGTTGTTGGTTATGGGGTTCTCAGTGCAAGGGATTGCAAGGGAGTGGAGTTAGATTCTCTTTCTCGAGTCTCGAGGCTTGTTCGCGTTCAAATCGCGAACGCTTTCGGCTTCGTGGCGGTTGCGTGCTCGTCGATGTCGCGATTCTCGCAACTGTGGTCGCTTTGAACGGGCGGGATGTTGCCGCTGAGGCGCTGAGGGGTCGCAGTTGCCTTGGTTTCGAGGCCGCTTCGTCAAGATTCGTCTGCATGCGTCGGCTTCAACAAGGGCCGCGGACGCTCACGTGCCGGTATGGAGTGTGGGCTAAACTTTAGGCTTGGTTAAACACAGGTTTCAATAAACACGTTTTTGGAAGAACGAATTGCTAGCGACATCTATCGGTTGTGTGTTTGAGAGGAAACGAAGACACCTATACTGTCTGCCTGATTTCAGATCTCCCAGCAACCTCGAACAGGGTTGTACGGTTCAGGGTTTAGCTGAGGAGCCCCACCCTCAATGAGAGTCCACATCCAGGCAAGGTCCGCGAAGTCATCCCTGTCTACAACCCCTTCAATGAGGTCAAGGGCGTCTCGACTGCTTAGAGCTCTTGAACACAGACACAGTGACATTCATGGGCACTGGTAGCTTTGGAAGGGTTCTCAAGCAAAACGTGAAAGCCTGAGACACAAAGGTGGCGGCAAAGGCCAGCGAGGCACCAATGCCACAAGCTGTTGAGTGCATGTGAACATGGGGCTGTTGGGTGGAGGGGCTATAAAGTCATATTTGAAGCACCTCCCACTTCGACTCACCCGGCAGAGGTAACTAGGACGGGTCCCACGAATCAGAATTTGGGATGCTTCCTCAGATGGTTTTGACTTTGAATCGGCTGGGGCTTGGGTGTTCAGGCTGGGATTTATCCGCAGATCTGCGGCGGGTTCCTTCTCTTCCAGGGAGCTTGACCGCTTTGCGGACTTTAGTTTCCTGTCGGCGAAGCCCACAAGCCGCTTGACATCTCGGGGTCTTCGTCCAAGCTAGGGCAGGCTACCAAGCTCAAGCCTGGAACCTAGTGACATTAAACCCTTGAGTCGCACATGGCACAGGGAGAGAAAATGGCGTTCCGGGTCTGGGGTGGAACGGGTTGCGTGCTTGTCTTTAGGGGCAGTTAGGGATCTAGCCCGTCTAACGTTTTGGCAGTGTTTGCTCAATAAGGATTTCGGGTTTCGGGCTGGAGGAAGCTTTTGAAGGGCAGTCTCTTTGGGGTCTTCGTAGGCTGCTGGAAGCAACCGTTTGCACAAGCCTCAAGCTTGAAAACCTGGTTTTCATCGGTTCAATGTCTGCACATCTCCTGGAATCAGTGCATAGCAGTACCAAGCGGCGTATCCGCGTGTTTTTTTTTCCACCTCTGCTGCTGGCAAGGCCGAAAGCGTCAGAATGTGGGCGTCTGAGACATCCCGAAGCATCAGATTAACTTTACGGCTTGCCACATGGTGCCACACTTCTGCTAAAGCTCATGGTGGCCATAAGGCTTACATGATACAAGATTTGCATTTAGGGGTGATGGTGGTGATGAAATGCCGCAGAAGCGTTATTTGCAGCTCCTCATGAGACTCTTGCTACACGACAGCACCAAGAATCCTGAAGCTCCAAAAAACAGTGATCTGGGAGCGTTTCCTTAGGACTCCAGCACCTCCAAGTGTCGAACCAAGGCGCACCGAAGTGAGAGCTTGGATTGTGTTCTTTCTTACTTTGTTTCTTTTTTCTTGGGGGCCGGGGGCTGCCTCGGGTCTTGTGGCCAGTAGGCCATGGTGTAAGCTCAGCTGTGATTCGTGGCATCCTTTGGTTTTAGTTGAAAGCTCAAGTATGAACCCCAGTACTGGTACCTACGAAGTGCCATGGAACCTGCTGTTCGCGGACAGCTTGCATCCTGAAAGCCCGCGGCTGTGGAACGAGGGGGGCGTCGTCCGAGAGCTACGTAGGCATTTGCGAGCGCCGACACGATGCGGAGCTTCTTGCACACCCTACACAGTCTTCCACGTCACGTCAGGGTCCTCCGTAGAAATGACCATTGCAATCATCATTGATCATCGCCGAGGCTGTCGTCCTCGTCCTCGTCGTCGTTCTCGTCTTCCTTGCATTCCCAGTCCTTGTTTTTGTCCTCGTTTTGGTACTCGTGCCTGTGCTCGTCCTTCTCGTCCTCGTCCTTGTCCTCATGTCCCTGCCGTGGTCGTCTTCTTCGCCGCATATGGGCAGAGGACACTCCTTGACACAGGCTCGATCTGTGACGTTAGATTCGTTAGATCTTGTTTGATTTGTTTTCTAGGTATAGTTTATGGGAAACACAGGATTTCGGAGTTGTTACGGAGACTTCTCAACTTTCTGGACCATTTCGAGTGGGCCTGTGTGCCAAAGATTTGGCTGAAGTCAAGTCGCTTCGCGTCATATTGTCAGCAAAGTGTCATCCTTCCTGCTGTTTGTTTGAATGGGGCCAAGGACAGGAGCTGCAAACGTACTTGCAGCATGAGGCTGAAGCTTTATGGTTCACACGTGGTAACCTCTAGCTAAACCTTCCGGAGGGGCACAACCGTGTTTCTCGACCAGTGTTGTGTCGAGGGGGCGTGCACTGAAAGCAGCTTAAACCACAATGACGGGTGGATAGGGATTGCGTGTTCACGTCAAACAGGCCCAATATGAGGATTGTACCAGGCTGAGTAAGAGGTTTTGGAAGCGTTATTCCATGAATGTCGGCATACAAGAAGTCCTATTGCAGGTGCCCAAAGTGGCGTCGTCAAAGGCGCATCTGTTGCCAAGCTGATTCTCTTGACATTCTGCTTTCAACGCCAACCCTAACTGCAAGATCCATTGATGCTTCTCAGGTAGAAAGGGCTAAGGGCTTTGTCGGACTGAGGGTCGTCTGATACTAAAGCAGAACCTATCCACAATCCACATTGAGCGCAATTAGAGCCACAACGAAAGCCTTGTCAGCAAGACAAAAAGTGCTCAGAGATATCTGAAGGATGGACAATGATCTGTCCTCAAGCCGAAGAACATTGTTTGGCATTGCCAGAGCTGTAACCTGCAATCCTCATGAAATGGCCTCCAGAATCGCCAGGTCATAGTATACGTACATTTCTTTACCCACTTGACGGCCACGTGCTCAGTGCTTAGGTCTTGGTTGGATGTGTGGTTGGTGTTGAGGGTCCGAAGGAGATTGGAAAGGGAACGGGTCAAGGGTCTCAAGTGCTGTGTTCAGGTGCAAGTCTTCGAGGTTTTCTTCTCATCCCATCGTCCTTACATGCCGGGCCAAGATGCTTCATCCTGAAAGTCTTACCGTGCTGACCCGACAAGGGAGATTTCCCGCGGCTCCATGAGAGATTTGAAATTTTCCAGTAAGGCTCTACCCTTTGCATCGCGCTCTTTTACAATTAGATGCCAGTGCTGGATAAATGCGACGTAAGACTTTGGAACTCGAGGCTGAGTGGTTGCTAGTTGCTGTTGCTGAGTTTGGGAGGTTGCAGATGCAGTAGTGTCAATCAACGCCATGCGCTGCGCTGCAGCTTGGGCTACTCAATTGCGCGGACATCGAAACTCCTATGCTGCCCAAATTAGCCTGTTCTGTTCGGTCGGATTGTTGTGGCTGAATCTTGTAGGCTGCTGGGAGAAAGAGTAAACGAATCAAGTTAGCAAGGCCTCCGTGAAACGTGCTTCAAGCATCCATGCAACCGCCAAGGATTAAAAATGTGGCCTTCCACGGATGTTTCGACTGCACTCTGAGACTTTCTGGCAGTCCCAAGGATGAGGAGGCACGTCGGCTGCTGGAGCAGTGGCAAGCTTAGACAGTAGGCTCTTCTTCCCTGTGACCCTAAAAGGACCCTAAAAAGACCCTAAAGGCACCAACGGACCCTAAACGGGTTCCAAAAGGAGCAGAGATTCGTTAGCAGATCACCCCCAAACCAAAAGCCCTCGAGAGCAGTTGACTCCAACGGCAGGTGTCAGAGTTCATCTCCTTGTCGAAACAGTTCAGGTTCTTGTGGGCATCAGCAAACTAATCTCTTGCTAAGATACACAAACGTGGTCTCCGTCCGAGTCACCGGCAGCGATGCCTGAGCCCAAGTTTCGATGTTGTTGGCACCAATCTCATGGATGTGAAGATGTGAAATGAACATAAGGTCTGCGGTGGCCCATATGGGCCCCTGAGCCATGAGACATTGACAAATTGTGGCACTCACGCAACAACTCCAATTAGCTTTCCACATCCTCACTTTGCGTTTCAAATTTACCAGTTGCAGCAAGTTCGTGACAAGACAAAGGGAAGAGACGAGGCTGTGAAGTTCGAGACTTTGATGATCATTCAGGCGTCGTATATTCGGATACTGAGAATCTTGGTTGCAACTCCTGCCCTCCGGGTCTCTTTTCGACCGAGGCGATGGTAGAAGTCCCCAGCAGAGAGGAGGCGGCACTGGAAGTCCCGAGCAGAGGGCTGTCAAATATTGCAGTGGCTCGTATTTTGCTTCCTAGCAGTTGGTGGTGTCCTAGCTAGCTCAATTCTTAGAATGCAAATGTGCGTCCCAAGAAGTTGAAGTTTCCTACTCGAATCTCTTTGTGTTAATGCCGCAAGGCCGGAATTCAACTAATTCGACTTGCGATGCTCGTTGGAACTGCTAGCAGGGATAGCGTTGAAGTTGGAACTTTGATAAGCTCAGTATCTTGGAAGTAGCTTTTCCCCGGTTCTTCCGCGCGCGTGCGCGTGCGACGCGCGCGCGCGCGCGCGCGCGCCGCGCGCCCGTCCGCGCCCGTCCGCGCCCGCGCCCTGGAATGGGATCATCACAGTCAGTGAGAGCGAGGAAGAGTCTACCATTGCTTGCCCACATCGCCAGTACTCCCAGAGGCGCTGCTAAGAGTTGCCGAGTCACTGATGTGCAAAGCATGCTTTTCCATGCACAGCCGCAGCAGTTCCTCCCTCGGAAAGGACCGCTGCGGCGAGGGGAGCAGGAGGAGGAGGAGGACGACGACGACGAGGACGACGACGACGAGGACGACGACGACGAGGACGACGACGACGAGGACGACGACGACGGCGAGGACGACAACGGGGTGGACGACGACGACGAGGACGACGACGAGGACGACGACGACGACGAGGACGACGACGACGACGACGACGACGACGAATGCCGCCAAGACCAACGACGAACCAAAACCTACGGTTGCCATGTCGACGCCGACTGGCACCAAAGATTTCAACCTGGCAGGCAAAATGGCTCGAAAAGAACCTCGATGGGAACATCCCGTTTGGATGGTCCCGGGCAGTCCGCATCACGCCAGGGACCCAGTGGGCATGTGGTGGCATGTTGTGGCATGTTTAATGTTTTGTAGTGCCACGAGTAGATGACAGCATATAAAGTCACCCTCATCCTTTTGCATTCGCGCGTCCCAAGTTCAGTTCCCTGAGGCTGGCAGAGATGCTCTGAAGCCAAGGCTGGAGCTCCTCTGCATTAGTCGTTTTTGTACCTGCGTTGCTGCGGGTTCGGAGTTCAGGCTTAGGCCCAAAGGATTGGAGCGAGTGTTCACGTTGCGTGGGGTCCGTGGGGTAGAGAAAAGCGCAGCTGACAGCAGGTTTCGACATGCAAGAGGACATCGTCAGACAGGCTCTCAGCGTCGAAGCGAGGCATCGTAGGGGAACAGGGCACCATAAGACTTGCTGGCATCCAGACATGATGTGCTGAACACGCAGGCGCTGCATCGAATAAGCGCCGAGCAAAAGAGTTCCCAGTTTCACTGCTTGTTGTGGATGGCTACACATGGTGGCACCATGCGCCGTTCTGAAGGAAGAGAAATGTTCCCAGCAGGCCTTTGCAATGTGGCAACGCGTTACATCATCCTACTTGCTGCCTTGCTATGCAGGACCTTTTCAGGTATCTCACTCCCTTAACCTTGAGCCAGGCTGTGGCACTCCACCACTACTCTGCAAAACAAAGAGCAGAGGTATCCCTTTCTTTCCTTGTGCATTGCTGCATGGCGCAGCATGGCAAAGTCCGGCACGCCCTACGTGCGCACCCGATGCATGTTGCGTGCTCTGGCTGCGCGCCGGTCGAATCCGCCGCACTGGTGTTTGAAGACCAGTGGAAAACAGCATGGTGCTGAGGAGCGCATTGTCATGTGGAGACCATTGCTGGGTTGCGTTTCATTCATGCTGGCCACTCAGCGTAGCGCACTTTCTTGTAAACTTGTAAAGCACACAAAAGAGCAGTTTGGTGGTTGTTCAGTTACTCAGTAGCAGGACAATGCGTTGGTGGCGATATGCTGACGGTGGGGTTTTGGTGGGTTTGGCAGCTTTGGGCTTACACTTGTAAAGCTTTGCTATGTGTAAGCTTCTAGAAACAGGGTGTGAGCTTGTCTGTGCGCCTCGGCGGCACACGTGCAACAGCACGCTTACATGCCGATGGAGTTCGGCTTCTCTGCCGATGATTTTCAGGCCTGCCAGCAATCAATTGCCAGATAATTGCCAGTAGCTTGTAATCCTGATGTGCTAAGTCTAAGGAGTCTTAGACACGGCCGCGGCTGTTTACATTGATTTCAGATTCCCTAAGTAGTCCCAAGAGGCACTTCGGCTTGAAAACCCAAGCTCCATGTTGCAGGGAGATGATTGGTGGGCGCCAGAGTGGCTATTGAAGAAGCTGCAGGACAGATCTTACTTGGGTACCTATGACCCCAATTGAAAGGGTAATTATAAGCTCCTTCGGAGGCCTAGTCTCCACCCGATGCTTGTCAGCTTGTGGACCAGCTCCCCCTGGGCTTTCACAAAATGCTGATAGGGAAATGGTCACCCGCAAACCTAATCTTGTACTGTAGCTGCCCCATGCCACATCCAAGACATCCTGCACGCGGAATCTCGCCAGAACTCTGCAAACCACATACACCTTGCAAGCAAGCACCTTATCCTCGAAAGCCGTCCTAAACCCTAAATCCCATCCCCATTGCTTGTGTGAATCTGATCCTGTCTTCGAATTCCGAGTCTGTGTCTTAACCGGTATGGATTCTTTAATAGCAGTCATAGACCAACTGCATCTCGTTAACCCTACAAAAGTAGGAGGACTTCTATTTCTCGCATGCACCTTGAGGCACAAAGCAGAAAAGTTTGTGTGCTACCTCGTATCGGTCGGTGCAGCCGCAGATTCAAACCCAAGCCAAAACTTGACACCCGAACCCCCCTGAACCACCCACCTAAGGCCTCAGCACACTACTCTACCGTGGTATGTTCGATTACACCCGAAACAATCCCGAAGCAATCCCAGCTGAGATGTCAGGCCCTGGAGGACCAGTTAAGCCTGCAGGGAGTTGGCGCGGGCCTCACCTTTGTAAAACTTCGTAGAGCTCAGAGCATTGCACCGTTGCACACAGCATAGCAAAATACGGTGCGGGAGGGGGGGGGGGGGGGTGTGGGCTTCCAGGGTGTCGAGCTTGGGGGGATGGCGATTCTCGAAAATGTCTTTTGTGAGGGATGTCTGCGCCATCCAAGATTGGGCCTATGAAGGATTTGAGCTCAACTCCAGGTGTTTTGGCAAGATGCGCCTCTGAAAGTCTCGCTTCAGGATTTGGTGCCGCCTTGCTGATGGTCCCACGGCTGGAAGAGTCACGATGAGTCACACAGATTGTTCGGACCTTCCATGTATGATCATGTACGCATCCTGAAAGTGTTATCTGAGGCTGCATCCCCCTTTTCGGGTGTGGTCAAGGTGCTGGTGGATCAAGCGCAGCACCTTGCTCCAGTCGAGAAGTTGGGACCAAAATTTCAGCAAGGCTTTGCGGCAAGCTGTTGAAGCTGGGTTTGGAATCTCCTTTGAAATTGCCTTCTGCTCCTGAAGTCTTTAGTCTTTAGTCATTGATCTGGCGATATCCGGCGAGCAGATGGTTCTTACCAATTTTTTCCGCCCCTGTTCTCCAGGGACTCTGGTCTTTGCTTTGTGTCCCCTAACAGCGAGTAGCTGAGTAGCTACTGTGTGTGACCCTTATCCCCTAATAAGCGCAAGCATAAATCCGGCAACATGAAACCCCAGGTCATGCATGAATCTCGGGTGTGGTTCGGTACTCGGGTCGTGAAAGCGGCGGATGAGCCCGCTTTCTCGGTGCTGCCTTCACCATTCTCAAGAAACAGGTTCGAACTAGCAAGTCAAGGTGATGTGTGGTGGGTCCAAGGTGGCAAAAGCCGAAGAAAGGCGTGACTCAGGCTGTACAACAGTGGAAAAAAGCAAGCCTCGTACAAAGGCGGCGCGTCCCTGCAAAACCCCATGCGTGCTCGTAGCGCCCATAGAAGTCAAAGTCTCAGAAGCCGAAACCCTTGTAAGCCCTGAATGTTACTAAGCCCAAACCCTAATAAACCCTGAACCCTTCACCGGACCAGTTTGCCCGAACTGAGGCTTGCCCAAGACGGCGCAGGCCCGCGCAGCCATGCAGAAGCGCCCGGTGCCCGAGTATCAGGTTTCTAGACCTTCCAATCCTGCAAGAGATGTGTATAATACACCCTGAGCCAGCTCTGAGCCAGCTCAAGAAACCCTTGAGCCTGAAACCTGCCCAAACCTACACTCAGTGCCCGAAGCAAGCCCCAAAAAACCAAGCCCTGATAAACTTAACTGCAAGTGCCCTGCATGGTTTTGCCGACTGAGGCCAGGAGCACTCGCCAGAACGCCGTTGCTCTCAGCTGCACTGTGGCTCCCCGAACTAGCCCCCGAACGAAGTTGATTTGCTGGGTTCTTGTTCAAAAGAAGCCCATGCGGGAGTATAGTGCAGCACAGTGCTTTCACCAAAAGCGGTGTTCTGGATTGAAGCTTTCGCCCTTGTCCATCCGCTTCCCTGATTTTCGAATCTTGGATCATGGGTTTGCTGACCTCAGGCCCCCTGTGGACAACGACACGCGCCAGCCCGCACAGCAGAGCCCTCAATGACAGCCTGAAGTCTCCCTCAAACGTGCTGCCATGTGCTGCCTTTTGACTACGAGGTCGCGTCTTGAGAAGATCAGTTGAATGTCCAAGTTTCGGGGATCTCTTCCCCCGAGAGCGCAGAGGGTTGGCATGCCCTTGGTTTCCAGAGTCCATGGTGGCCATGGACTCAGGGTTTCAGAGTGTTCTACTGTTCTACTACATGACTTCTTTGGGGTTGTGGTTTACACTGAAGAATGGTCTTCACACATACAAAAACAACAGCGAAGAACGGTCAAGAGAGCTTCAGCACGGCGTCAGGAACGTCTTGCCGAATTTCGCCTGGTATGACCAAACTTCGCAAGAACACAAGGCCACAAGACACGTGCGTAGACAGGCATGGACCGGAACTTCGGAGCCAAGGAGTTTGCAACGCGTAGGCACAACGATGAGATGCGCAACACGATATTGGAGCTTTGTTCGCGGCATTTGCTTGCAACAAGAGGGTTCCATCGCAAGGTGCATGATGGTTCCGCAGCGCTTCGCCAACAGGAATCTCACAAAGGATTTGGTGAAAAGATTAAGAAGGCTTAGGGACTTCCTGGGAAGGAAGGCTTAGTTCTTTGGAGGTGCCATAGAGTCCCCAGATGAAGCCTGTAGCTTTCTGACATCTGCAGCCCAAGGCTCATGAAGAGGCCTCCTTTGCAGGGACTTCGGGGGACAGGTCAAAGGGTTTGCTCATGTTGTGCTGTTTCAGCGTGTCGCTGCGGCTGTGGGGCACAGAGTTGGTGTTTGCGGTAGTATGGGAAGATTATTTGCACATTGCCTTCGAAAATCTCTTTGTCTTTACGCTGCCAGGTCTGATGCAGGTAGCTTATCGCTCTTGTAAAGGCAGCAAGACCAACAGCAGTAGGGCCTCGTGGTAGAAGACTAGGCGTGACAGCTTCTCGGACGTTGAAATGCGCTCCCGACGTGCAACCCAATGCTCTCCTCTCCACTGCTCTCCACTTCACCGGCCTCCCCAATCCCTAGACCCTGCCCAGGTGTAACTGTGAATCTAATGTAGCCTCAGTATATATTTCTGATTGTAGCCCAGGTGATCGTGGTGATAAACATGCAGTTCCATTCAGGTTTTAGCCCTGAGCCTCAAAGCAGTTGTAGAGTCCTGATTGTGCGGCTGAAGGGTCCCAGCCGCACCTGCGAAGGTTTTCGTTGGAGGCCCTGGCAAGGGAGTTGCAGTTGCCGAAGGCGGGTGTGTCAGCAAGAGAATGTAGCAACACCGTAGAGGACTGCCGTAACACCACGTAGACTTCCATAGCTATAGTACAGTAGTCTACTCAACATCTACGCCTAAGTTGAGAGAGCTTTCTTACTCCTGCAAAATCCGCGACATCTGCATCAAACAGAGCACTGGTTGTGCAAAGCATTGAGCGATGGGAACACATTAGCTCACGATGAAGAAGCTGTAACAGCCGCATATACTCCCATTGCAAGCGTTGCTTACAAGCTGAGCTCCCTTTTTCATGTTTTGCTTCGGTGCCCGCGTGCACTAGGGGGGGGCAGTCCAGCAGTGCGAAGATGTTTCACTAGCACTGCGTGCAGGTCTTCGGGAGAATTTTCTAAGGGATGAAAATGCGATATGCATTGCAGGCAAAGCGCATGAGCGTTTGGAAGCTCCGAGCGCGTCTACAGCTCGGTTCCCTCCATTCGTGTGTTTCCTCCGTGATGCGTCGGTCCATAGCTGAGGTTTGATGGAAATCCCACTGCCCGAGGCAGGGGTTGCGAGGGCTTGGGGTAAAACGAAGGAACAGGAAGTGAACCTGGTCATGAGGGAGGTTCGCAAAGTGGGGCACTCATCAGGATCAAGTTACCCTCTATGCTGGTCAAGACACGACCCTCCTCCTGCCCCTGGGAGAAGTGCGCGGTGCAGGACCCAGAAGAAAGATTGGAGTGGTTGCACGTACTTTACGGCCTCCAACTCAGCTCTTTCGGTTCGGCATTTTTCCAGCAGAGTATGCATAATTCACAGGATGCATACAGCTAAACATGCATACAATGCTCAAACAACTGCATGGGATGTGGTGCGGAACACATCCAACAACCCCAATAGTTCCAAGAGTCCAACCTCGCCAGACACTTCTCTGAACAATCGACGTCCAGTTTTCCCCAAAGAAATTTCTCAATTCACGACAAGATCTCGAACAAGGGGAAAGGCCGAGGTGAGCTGCTGCAATCCATCAATATTGTGTGTATGATTGTGTCGGGTTTCTCCATGCGTTTATGTCTAATTAACAGGGTACCGAGGGAAAGCTAGAAGGCGAGAGCCACATCCAAATTTCTGTTGGCAATTGGATATTGCGTATTCAAGCTTGTCTCGTATTTACACGACATGTAGCAAAGAGTGTGGCACACATATGTGTTAATTAATGCGGGAAGATGTAGCACTTTGTTGAGTACTGAGCACTCCTAGAGCCCTGCAGCCCCCAATACAGTTACTTCAAGCACTAGCCCTGGCCCCTCAAAAGCTTACGCTATATGGATCTCAGGGACATTATTTGCCCCTGAGGCTATACCAAATGCAAGGAGGACTTGTTGTGGCGGGGTGGGGTTTTGAGGCTTAGGCTTAGAGCTTAAGGTTTCCAGGCCTTCCACAGGCATTGGGTGGTTGCACGTCTCTCCGGGTTCGGGTGGACATCCACGTAGCCCTTTTTTGGGCTGGGGGGTTTGCAGTTCAATCTACGAAAGGTTTCAAGAACTGCAGTGTCAAAACATATGGGTCGAGGACCCCCTAAACTTCCTAAACCTTGAACCCTGAACCCCTTGCTTGCAGGTAAGTTCGCTGCAAGCGGGTTCGGATCGGGATTTTCTTGTCTTCTCACAGGGTTGCAAAGACCTGCGTAGAGTTCTCGGCTCAGCTGCGTACTGTTCCTAATATCCCGTACTTCGGAGTCCTGGAACTAGTCGTCCTGAAACTATCTTGACACGTTTTGCTTGAAGCCTCATTAAACAGCATTGAAATCGCATTGAAACCTTACAAACCGGATATGAGGCCTTGTTGTCGGTGAGACGACCCGTCACCAATCTTCACCTTGCAGTCTTCATTTTGCCCAAAAGAGGCAAGACTCTCTACGGTTGTCCTGAAGCCTTTATGGGGAGTCGATCATAATCTTGCAAGTGTGCAACCACCATTATCATGGAGCAAAGCAACATCTTTCCCGGCATTGAGCCAGGACCCAAAGTGGACTTCTCTGCCTCCAAGGCAAAGGGGGGGGATCCGGAGACCTCGACTCACTGCCCCTATGCTAAAAGGGAGTCCGAGACCATGTCCAGGCCGGTTTCAGGCGAGGGGGCAGCTTTCCTCCAGGAGCTGGGTCCACGGCAGAATCGTGAAGGTTGTGAAGGTTTCAAGAAAGCTGAGGGGCGAACAGGTTGTTCTAAATTGTGCTTGTTTCATCTTGATGTAGTCGGTTGTGGACCAGCTTGCAATCCTCAGCCCGCAGTGCAAAGAGTAGGAGCTGATGGAGCATCGGGGCAAGCCGCTGGCGTGGCGCAAGAGTACTTGGCCGGGGACCCCAGGCTAAGTCGCAGAGGAAGGACATTAGGGGCTTTATTTATCATCACGCAAGCCAGCTCCTGGGAGCTTGAGGGAGCTCTTGTTTACAGCTCTCTGGGTCAAACTGATCAAAGGTGTCCGTTTTCCCTCATGAATCAGGACGTTGAGGCGTCCGTGGGTGGGGGAGGCGCCCCCACCCTCCCTTCCCCCGTTTGGGGAGGTGGGCGGGGGGAGGAGGGTGGGGGGTGGGCGGGGTCCTCCTCCGCCCTGTAGGTCCCGCTTGGGATTAGGCGGTTTTCCCGTCTTCAGATCTTGAGAGAATTAACTCTTCTCATCCGTCACAATACATTAATAACATTAGATCTACAGCAAACCAGCCTTGTCTGCTATTCAAATGCGTTCATTGTTCCGCTGATAAAATGAAATCTCTTACACTACTACGAATCCTAGAATCAATGAGATTCTACAAGATGTACGACTCTAGGCGGGAAAGAGCCTTGTTTGAGCTTATTTTGTGAGATTGAATGCTGGTAAAATCTGAGGAGGAATTCTGGAATTATTCATGTGAAATATTTGTGATTGTATTGTGAATGGTGTGGTCTGCAATCTGTGAACACAGAGTGCATTGGACTTGGGGGTTGTCCAGCATCTGAGCCTAATTTGGGCAAGAGTGAAAAAAGAGTGAAAAAAGTGCAAGAAGAGTGAAACATGTGTGTACACCTAGGAAACTCAACGATTTCCTCTGCCGCGCTCCCAGAAGCGAAGAAGTATGTGAGTCCATGCGAATCCAGACAATAAATCTAAATGAATTCTCACAGAAGAATCACAGATTCGACATCCTCCAATCACAGAATCACCACGAACAACTCACACATTTTTCACAAGCAAATCACAGGTTCAAAAAAACCCAAATGGCATTCTAATGTGGCTAGATCACAAACATGTCACACATACATCACAGATTCAACATCCAGAAATCATTAAATGATCACTCTTTAATTTACCGAAAAGTAAGTAATTCTCAACATTCACCACCAGTTCAACGTAACAAAGCTTATTAATTCGTTCGTTAACTCACTTCCGAACTTCGCAAAGAAAACACCTTTGGGTTTTAAAATAGTGTTTTCGCGAATAATTAAGAAGGGACCGCAAGAAGCAAAATGGGGGAAGTTTAATGCTGTTATCTGAAAGGCTTGGGATGGGAAGCAATGGAACCTCGGCCCTGCGCTGAATAGCAGGACCTCCTCTGTTCTGTGTCTTTTCGCAGTGGCGCAGGGTGAGAGCTCCTCCTAGAATTCCTTTGGTGTGGTTGAAAAGGTGCGGCTTCTGAATCAAAAGCCAGACCTCGAGCCTTGCTACAGTAAAACTGCGATTGAAATGGGCCAATGGGGTCCTTGACATGCGCGACCTGCCGAGTTGACGTGCTTCAGCTCTCAGGAAACCCAGAATGGGTCCAGAGCTTGTTCAATCTTCGCTCGGGTCGGTCTCGACGACGACCATAAAAGACACATAATACAAAAGCAGTAGAAGTATCATAGACCCATGGCTATGAAATCTTTAAGCAGCTTGCTGAACAGTACAGCAGCTGGAAGCCCTCAAAACTACAGTTCAGGTCCCTACCGAGAGAACCAAGAGGGCAACCGCCGCGTGCTTGTACTAGGGTGCTTGTAGGTGTTAGGGACAGAAAGGGTTTAGGGTTGAGGGTTCATGCATCCCTCATTGTTCCAGTCGTACCCTTATGGCGTATAGCCGTATAGCACTTTTTTTCTCGATGGGCTCCGTAGGAAAGCTAGGCAGCGGCAGGCAACCCACAAAAAGAGTGTAGCCTCTTCGTTGTTTGTAGCGGAGTTGCTGCGGCCTGAAACCCCCCAAAGCCGTCATGCCTAAGACCTCTTGCGTTGGGGCTTGGGGCCCTCACACATGTAGGTAGTTGTGTTTCAAGTCCGCGTGCTGTCAGGCGGGCCCTCTGTCTGCGCTGTCACCCGGACAAGCGCCTGGCAGTTGTTGGAAAACCCTTTTTGGTTGACGGGTACTCCACCGCAATACGAAGAGACTACCTGTTGCCCGTGCAAGCCTACTGCAGCAGAATCTCAGGCATGTCCTGCTTTAAAGAAGCGCAGCGGGTGCGAAATTCGGGGGGAAACGTCTAAGTCAGCCCAGGAACCAGGACAGAGAGGCCGCCACGCGCACATTCCAGGAGCTCTCGGAACTGAAGCCATGGTTCTTGCCCGACGTGTGAACAGGGGTGGTAGTAACAGTAGCAGTCCCCATCATCGCCATGAGTCGTCATGAGTCATCATCATCATCATCATCATCATCATCATCATCATATTATATACAATCCCCAAACTACGGTGGTTTGGTCTCAGTTGCTGTTGTATACCTCAGCTGGCTTGCCGGCGTCATCACATTGATGACATCAATGGAGCCAAGAACCGCGGACAAAATGATCGTGTTGCGGGGTTTCATTGTTCAGGTAGATGTTCTTTTTCTTTATGGTGGTGTGCTCGCCATTGCTCGAAGTGTGCAAAACAAAGGTTTTCAGGGCTTCGTCTGCATCAAGCGGTTCCGTCCCCTTCTTGGGTTATCCTGTCTGGGGTGCCAATGCAGCACTGGTTTTCTTGTCCAAGGAAGGGTTTCCCACAGTGCTACGCGGTGGCTCAGCACAATGTCAGCACTGGGAGCGGGTTTCACCTGTTTGTATTTGCGGCTCGGATCATGCAGCTTGGTTCCATACCACGTAACCGCTGAAAGCCTTTAGTGATATCGACCTGACCCGGCGGCGTGAAGCCTACCCATGAAAAAAGCACTGGAAAAAGCCCACGACCCCCTCAATCTCAATGAAGAAGAACTGCAACTTGCAATCGATCAACAACCTGGGACTGCGGCTTCAAGCAATGGCCGCCGCCTTCCCAGGTTGCCAGGGGGTCGTACTGCGCCAAGGGAGCCCATTAAGTCCCCATGCCCTATGCCCTGATGGCCCCAATCATTTTTTGAACTCTGTGAATTGCTGTACATGTTGTTTTGAGTACAATGATGGCCGTTGAGGTGCGGTTTTCTTGCTTATTCTAACGCTTGTTATTCCTCATGTGATTGTAGATGATTGCAGTTTCAGATCCCCAAAAAAAGATGAAGCTCTCCAACACATTGAGGAAGCACCCTGGCCTGTTTTTCGCGGGCCCCCGCCCGGCCCTCGGCTTGAATCGAGATTACGTCGATGTTCGGAAGACCCTTAGACCCCCATTAGGGGCCCCCATTCACATGCAACCCAAACTCTAAGTAACCTGGGAGGGCTGTAGATGCTTCCTTGGTCTGCATGGGGCTGTTGCGTACAGTGCCCAGGGCCCCTTGGTTTCAGCACTCTGCATGTTATGACGTGTCCAGGAAAGGTGATTTTCGGCCAGCGGACGAAGATTAGATGGACCTCGACTTTATTTCAAAGTCAGGTAAAAGTTCGCGGGTGAAGGTTGAAGTGTCGTTGTGTCAACATTAAGGTGCTTGCCGGCATATGCGAGAGATTCGCGAATGCGTTGTTTTACTATCGTATGCTGATGTATGCTGTGGAGTGCGGGGCATAACTGGAGCATTTTGAGGGTGCTTGGGAAGTGCTCCCAGGCTGCAGCGGCCCGGTGCGAAGGAAGTGGAGGCTATCTATACTGCATATCATGCAGAGGGCACTAAGGTACAATGGGATACGATTTGCTGCCATGGAAGTGTTTTGCACGGCGCTGTAAATGACCACCTTCGCCTTAACCCAAGAAGTGTAGACTTCACACTTCGTGAAGCCTGTGAATCCTGCGAGATCTCGGGGGCACCTTTGAGGGCTCCCAGAGGTTGAAGCATTGAAACTGCAGCCTGCACCCCTTTCCCCTTTGTGGGGAGGGGGGGGGGGTACCTCCAACCTTCACTTCACCGAAGGGGAGGCCAGAGCCCGGAGAAAAAGAACCACCCCGTCCCAACAGCAACGTTCAAAGAGTCCAAGGACCCGTAGATGTATATATATATATATATATAGATATATATATATATAGTTAGATCGCAATTATTCTGCTCAGCCTTTCTGGCCTTTGCTTGGAAATCTCTTGGAAAAGAGTCAGGTTTCGGGACATTAGAGAAGGGCTTCGTGGGCACTAAATTGGTTCCGGCTTCAGCGTGACAAGTGCACCGACTTGTCCTTAGTGAAGCTGCCAGAGAGCGAATTCCTGATGCCGACAGCTTGGGTAATTCAACCGTGGGGCTATCTGTGCCGTCTGAAGCTATCTGACCTATCCCAGGCCTCTCTGATTCTGCTGATAAAGTAGTAGCTCGCATATGCGGCCTTGTCTTAAAGTCTAACAACCCCACTGAGGTGGGGAACAAGAGTTTTGCAGCCATCTGTATCACAGAAGCAGTTTCAGCTCCGAAGGACTTCGGAAGTCCATTTGGTGACTTTGCTATTGGCACGTTGCCGCTCCAGGAAAGTTTACATCAGCGGCCCGAGTAAGAAGTAGAATCGTTACCGTGAGCTGTGATTCAGGAACTTAGACTCGATTTCGACTAGAACTATCCAATACCTGATCTGCGAGGCGGATCCTGCTGTGGCACTTGACCAACAGGCATCCGGGACGATTCAGCCGCCAAGGCTGCACCAGAAAAGCCCTAAAGGTGGAAAGGCGGCTCTTCTAGATGCTGAAGATATTCTGCAGTATCCCCGGCGATGGGTAAAGCATGGATCTTCCCAAGCCTTCCTCTAGAAGGAGAGCGCATGGAATTCACGTAAAGCTTCAGGACCTGCAACTTCGTGGTAGCTCCAACATACCCTTATGGGCCTGTAGGGGCTCCTGAATTTAGCACCCCCAACCTTGAAGGATCATTTTAAGAGTTGTTGGTGGAAGCCTCCATGCAAGGAATGGCCAGAGGAACGAGTGCCCCACGGGACTCGACCAATGGCGCCAAGAGGAGGCTTCACGCTTGGCCCGCAGCATTGGAGTAAACGAGGATAAGACTCTAAGACCTCTGTGCGAAACTTGGCAATGGTCCCGCGCTTTTACACGGCAACTCCCATCGCTCTAAGCATTGTAAAAACTGTGGAGGGCTTACGGCTTGGGTTGATCCACAGGTGGCTGCTGAAGCCCATCTCCAGCTTCCGTGCAGGCTGGAAATTCAACGTCGCGGGTCACAAATTTGAGCAGCGTCTGCAGTAGAGATGATGGCATCTTCAGAAGGGGAGCCTTTCTTCCTGAGCCATTCTGGTTTGAAAGTAGGAATCTGCTATACTAATAATGGTTCCTGAATCTGGTACCCGCCCCTTACCATTCTTCTTTGGGCCTCATTGCCTCATGGTGAGAGGTGTGTCGAGATTTCGCTGAAGTCTTTGAGCGCTTGCGTTGAGACTCAGCGTGACCCTCTCCTTCTCCTTTTGACAAGCTCGTCCTGACCTACATTGGAAATTGAAAGTAGGACTTGAGCCTTCAAGACAGGGGGTTTCCTCAAGCAGCATGGGCAGGAAGCAGGAAGCAACGAGCCGCTGGCTCCTTAGGAGCTTTCGCAGACTGCACAGGTGGTGGCCGTGTTGACTACGGTGTTAGAGCATAGACATGCAGCTAACGGGCACTTGAGCAGTCATTCAAGTCTCGGCTGCTACAGTCCTATACTGTTCAGATACGACTTTGAGGCGAAGCTGGAATTGGCGAGCAGGTCATCCGCCGGAGTCCTGACTGCGGTAGAAGATGGGGTGCTGTTCTTGCCTGGCCGCGTTTTCCCTTGAAAATAAACCCTAGAAAGAAGTAAAGTATGCGAATGACGCGCTCCACGGGTGATTTCAAGGGTTTCTGGTCCACCTTGGCTTCTTGGAGAGTTCATCTCCTCTGACTCCTCTGGACCCACTGTATGCTTCGGACCCACGGTATGTTTCACAGGTACAGTGCATCCCACTAAATAAACATGCCAGCCACCAGAGTATATGTATGTCTAGCAAGTGTATTGAGGAGCTTTCCCACCTTGAATCTTCAGACTCCAAGCTGTAGATCCTGGAAATGGAAAGACTGTGCTCAGTCAGGCCTGTACCCGTCGCCACTAGGCCACCGTTGAGCGATGGGTTTTTTGCTTGACTCATCTGCTTCGGTCCCTTTTTTACTGGTTCAACAGTCTGCGCTCCCCCCCCCCTGTCCATAGCCAGCTATTGAAGTGCGAAGTAAGAGATCCGTAGTTCGGAAGACTCAGAACCCTGGTCCTGGGACTTGAGATCCGAAAAGGTCGAGCATGTGGCCTAGGCCAGAATACCCTCAACCAACATCTTGTGCAACAACTTGCTGTCACCATCTCGGGTGCCCGGAAGGCCTGTTGCTGCAGACGGCTATTGTCTCGAACTCAGCTCTTTTGAAATTTTGGCAGAGCCGTTCCACTTTTTCCTCTTGGGGCAAGCGAGACTTTACGTGAACGCATCTTATCTTGTCTCATCGCAGCCTGCAACAAGCATGGTTGCCACGGTTTGGTTGGAGGGTCAGGGAGGGCCCCCAGCTCGAGTGTATATGCAGAGAGGTGCCGGCGAGTGCCAAGGTTAAATCAAATATCGATGTTCGGGGATGGTTTAACTTTGTGGAAACTCTGAAGGAACTCACATTTTTCTGGTATACGAGACAGTCCCATGTTTGTACAATCCCGAAGCCTGAGCCCACCCATTGCATGCCACTTTACACTGCAGCACACCGTGCCTGACGTGGAGTCAGTTGAAGAGGTGGACAAGGCCAGACAGTTCGTGTTTTGCTGCTTGATCCTGTTACTTGCAATTCAGGATTGGTTTCGAATACTGCGCCGAGCGAACAAGCGTATGCTTGTGAAGATGTTGTGGCTTCTTGCATGGAGAATGCACACTCATGAGCTGGACAGAGGCATGCAGGGCGTTCCTGCTGCAGCGAGCAGCAAGACAGGTGCACCTTGTTGGCGTGCAGTCCAAGTTGTGTTGTCAGAATGAGCAGAGCCGGAACTGCGAGTGTTGGGCTTCTAGCAGCTTCCGGCTCTTGGCCAGGGTATGTCATGGGTAGTCCTGGGGCCCCAAGTCCTGAACCGAGAGGTTTGACAAATCATTCAGAGAACCCCGCGTTCATTCAAACAAACCCCAGGATGCCCACAAGAACTCACAACCTTGCGTTGTTGTGAAAACCAACGGCAGT